GTGTGCGTGTGTGTGTGTGAACAATGAGCATGTGGGTGTAGTTTACATTTTATTAAAGTATTTTGGTCTTTTTAGTCCGTCTGTCTCGGAACGCATCACGCAGCATTTCTGTCTCAACTTGAACCAACGTCTGCGTGTTACACCCCGGACTGGTCTTGTCAGTCAGTCAGTCTGAGTGACGTCCAAGGTTACCTGTCAGCTGTGGAAAAACAAAACAAGCCATATTTATTGAAGTAAACAGAGTTTTTACTGAACAGCTAGGAGAATGTGTCAGCCTCTCTCCTGCAGTTAGGATATCCTGGGGTTAACCAAGACTGTCCAACACAGACTACTGAAAAGGCTTGATATCACCTTGAAAAGTAACTGCTCTGTCATTTTGTCTATTTAGACTTCTGAAATGTGTTGGCACGAGTTCTTGTTCTAAAAAGAGAAATAATCCAGAAAGAGTCTGGGAGTTTTATAAACCAAATATCTTATCGACTCCGTTCACTGCGCTGTACGTTATTTGAACCTATCAGTAGTTTTGGTGGAGATGAATTAACTTCAATAAGACCACTGCCACTACTGCCACCACTAGTAGTCATAATTATAGTTTACAAAAGGTGTTCTTTAAAAGACCAGTGTGTGGTTTGATTTTAAGTTTTATAAAGTTAAAAGAAGAAGTGTCAGTGAAATTTGAATCTCATTCATGTCATGCAGTTGTATATTTTATGGACTCTTTGGCTTTAGCTGTTTTCATGTTTGTTGTTTAGTTGCTATAGTTACAGATGTTGTTGTTTTTTTTCTGTTGCCAAGAGCAGAAAATGCGCTGTCTACCTGTTTAAATACAGTTTGTGTTGAAAGCTGCACAATGAATCGAGTATAAATGGCGATAACGACTTTGACTTCCCACAGTTAAATGAGCGTGATCGTCTACACTGTTGATGTTTTAAAATGTGTGATCGGCTCATAGAAAACCTGCTGCATGTCAAATGAAGCGCTTCTAAACTCACAGCCAGCTCAGGTGATCCTGATGTTCTGCTTTCACTTTTAGGGAGCTGTCATGTCGCAGCACGCACACCCTGCAACTGCAGCCTGGATACTTTTATTCCCGGGAAAAATGCAGGATCAAGTTACTGCCAATGAAAACCGAAATGCCCTACTGCTGCAGCTTCACAATAAAAGCAGAAAGCATTGAAAGCTGTGTTTGCATTTGACCGTAATGTGAAAACAAACACAGATTCAGTGTTTTCACTACTGTAAGCTTTGATACATGGTGCCAGGGACACATTTCTAGATGGAAGAGATATCATGCAACAAGCGTTTCCAGTCACCTACTGTGAGCCTGCCTGTTTAAATATAGACTAAACAGATGCAGGAGTGCAGCAGCTTGAATCCGTGTTTGTAATCCTCGATGGAGCTTCCTCTCCTACAGGCTACATCCTCCAGTTTATCTGGAACCTGTGTGTGCACACGCAGCTTCATTAAAACCAAACGGTGTCTGCAGGCTACAGCAGACCGCAGCAGGTCAACGCGTTGAAGCCGGGCTGTGTATTCAAGCAGGCACGTCGGCCATAAAACACTCCCTGCTTCAGCTCGCTTCCACGGTCACGCAGCTGAGGTTAGCAGGCATGTCGGGGCCGTGCTGCTTGTTATTGTACATGGCAGCAGCCTGAAGGTACGAGAGTGATAACACAGGAGGGAGGAGGTGGGCTGACAGAGTTCACCTGAACAGCAGCAAAACAGACCTCATTTTGTTTCTCCAACCATTCAGTAATAAGGATAGTAAGGATATTTAAGGACAGGTATCGTCTCAGGAAGGTAAAATGGTACTCAATTTGGTGGTAAAAATGGTGGTAAATCTACTTCCACCTACAAATGACAAACAATAATAATAATAATAATAATAATAATGTACAAATAAGAATAGAATTTGACAGATGTAGGGACACAACTGTCGGTTAAATGAGCTCAAACACACAGTCCAGAGGAAGTATCCTGCCTGATTTGTTCAGGGGATCGGTCTGATGTTGTGCTCATTAACCGAGGTTTCCCACAGTCTGGAATAATTGATCTTATAATCAGAGCCTTGTTGGCAGGATTAAAACAATGTGTCATCTCCTTGTGCCAGAACAGAAACATGAGCGTGGTTGAGATGGACATACAGGTATAACGAAGCCTGACGAACGTGCTGACACTGTCCAAGTATTCAACCTTTTCTTTTGCGCAGTTTCATTTCCTTAGGGAGCTTTATACCAAGTGCACATTAGACAAGTTAACGGCTGTTAAATTCTTCAGATTGACTTTGTTTCTTGCAATACGCTGGGTGTAAATGTAGCAATCAAAGTACTGCCGTAAGCTGGTTAGTGCCGTGAGTCGAGAGTATCTGTGTTGTATTGATCATAACGACCAGCTTCTTCCGTTTAAGCCCTTTGACCTTTGACACATGCAGGGTGGGGAAAATGTACCAGTGTGTAAGTGTACTGTAAAACACCCACTTACTCAGCCAATGATTGGCCGTGTTCGCTCTGTCGGTGTGAACACGAGCACACGGAGAGGAAACATCTTCCTAAAAGCGCTGAAAGTGCCGCAGTGATGTGAAACCTTCTGCTCTGTACACTCTTGAGTTTCAGACCTTCACAGGAGGACATTTTTGGAAAGTGAAGTTTCTGTCTGGTCCTCACTTCTTCTTGGGGCTGTTGGGTTGCAGAATTATGTTTGTGTTACAGGCGAGGGAATGAGGGTCCTTCATAAGTACAGTGCAGAACATGTGTGTGTATGTACGTCTCACACGCCTCATAAAGAGAAGTTTGCTTCCTGTTTTGTTTTAAAGAATGCCTGAGATCATATGTCTCTTTGTTCGCTTCCTTTTTTCACCTTCCTTTGTGCTCCCTTCTCTCCAACCCCAACCCTCCTTCCCATCATTCCTCTCTTCTCACCCTCTGTCCGCCTTAGGTTTTTGATAACTATGCAGTGACAGTGATGATCGGCGGGGAGCCGTACACTCTGGGACTGTTTGACACTGCAGGTAAGAAAGCTGCGTATGGGTTTGGAAGATAAACTGTGGCTGGTTTTAGCTTGACCTGCTCCATTTTGTACATAGTGTTTGTTGTCTGCTGTTAATCACAGTGTTTGTGTGTCTCCCCCTGAAGGTCAGGAGGACTACGACAGGCTGCGACCCCTCAGCTACCCTCAGACCGACGTCTTCCTCGTCTGTTTCTCTGTCGTATCGCCCTCCTCTTTTGAGAACGTCAGAGAGAAGGTGAGTTCAGTCATTCAGTCGCTGTTTGTCATTTCCATCTTGAAGTTAAGGTTTGTTTGGCTTTTGGGCTTTAACGTTATAATCTGGAATATTAAAATGTGT